TGAAAGGGATATCCAGCTTTTCACATACTCGCCTTGCGTCCGCTTCATCTCTTGTTCTAGGGCATTTGGCACTACCCTCCTCGACTTGGTCCCAGTTGATCTAAAGGAGTATCCTTGACGGTTGAAATCCTGAGCAGAAAAATGCAACTGGTAATTTTCCGATTAACAACATGCAGTGAGCAATGATTACAATGGTTTATGGATCAATTAACTATGTTCTGCGTCAAATACCATGAAAGAGTCGCACCGCTTTATATGACGCTTCCCGATTTGAATTTTGAAGAGCAGTATCTAGGCCAAAGCTCCTGACAACTACCACTTAGTGATCTAAGACCGGCGGATTTTTGACATAGAACCATCAAAAAAAGATCTAACCATATAGATACCCATAACGTCAAATCCTCGCTTTTTCAACAACCAAGCGGATACCGCGCTGTCTACACCTCCGGACATTCCCACCGCCACACGAAGGCGTTGCATTCCAAAAAACTTCAAGAACACTCTTGCATAATCTTCAGAATTCACTGGAGCCACTAAAAAAGTGTGCTTGTAAAACGTTAGAAAATTTGCAACATGTTTTAACAACCCATCTGGTCTCCTTATGGAAGCAACCACTGCTAATAAACATAACAAATTGCTTCGAAAGATTTATTAATCGACATAAAACCAGATAATACCCGTATAAAAAGAAAGTACAGACAACTTCAACAATGGTTTTAGGTCCTGTCACTAAAACCTACCTATAAATTAAGTTGCAAACCTATACAATTTCCTATTCTAAAATCACCGCAAAAAAATTCATGATTCTAATTTCTGACTACTGACGAGAGCTATATATGCACTTACAAATGCAAGTTTTGTTAATTTTTGGATTTTTCAGCTTTTTTACTATCTTCTTCGGTTTGCTCTCCAGCTTTCTTCGTGTCCCCCGATCCAGTCTGCTTTGCATGCTCGTTCATCTGCAAACAGTTTTTTAACTTTCATAGATTATCATATCATATCATAAAAGCAAGACCTCAACTACTGTTTTATTTACGCAAACAGTGTAGATATGGCTATCAAAAAACATGGATGATGACTTTGGCGCAGAGAGTTATCTTTTTTTTT